ATGTTTCTCTCTCATCGATGTTTCTAACTCTCTATCTCTCTCCCTTCCTCTCTGTAACAAATCAATAAAAAATATTTAAAAAATAAAAAATAACTTTCCATAAATTAAAAAGAAAACAATATGTAATTACATATGTGTTTTTCCGATGGTCTTAGGCGACCCCTGTGAAAAGGTCGTTCGACCCCCAAAGGGGTCTCGACCCACAGGTTGAGAACCGCTGATCTAGATGGAAAAACAAAGGGCCAAGAATGGCCAAGTCATTTTGGAGATTTCGCCTGGGCGGGGAAGGCCTTCCGTCAGATCCCGGGGGTAATTACCAACTGGAGTCGTGGGGACCAGCAGGCCATGGCTTCCCATACGTGGTGCTTCCTCGCCACGATTTGCTGGAAGTTCTTCAGTTTTGGTTTTGATTTGTTCTCTGGCCTGAGTCATTTGAAGACAGATTTACAAATGTAACTATTATAACTATGGACATTAGGGTCTGTTGTTTCCTGGTTTTATGTTTGTTGTTTTATGGTCTTATAATGAGAGACTGTTGTCTGGATTATTTCTCTCTCCCTCTGGGAAGTTCTGAAACTTTCTGAGGCATAAGAGATGGTTATGACAGAAAATGTCCCAAGAGCAAGCGAAAGGAAGGCGCCTTCTCTCGTTTCCTATTGTAGAGTTTTAAATCTGTTGTTTCCAGTTGCCAAAATCTTTGACCTCCCACTAGCTTTCGCTTTATAAATGTGTAGGGGGAGGGGGCGTGCATAGAAGCCCATGTCTCCCACCTTCATGAGAGACGGAGTGTGTGTGGTTGTTTTGTGTGTGTGTGTGTGTGTGTGTGTGTGTGTGTGATATTCGTGACTTTGAGAGGATTTTGAAGATTAGTGGGAATGCCAACTCCAACATTAAAAACGACAGGTGGTTGCAAATATTGCTTTTGTGTTTCCCATCTATCTGATCACCTGATAAGCAATAATCATCACTGTACAAGAGAAATCCTTCATTTGGGTAAGTAGTAAAATGTATTCACTTGGGGACCTTGTTTAAGAACTTCATCCCCAGCCCAAGGTCATAGAGAAATCTCTTCATTTCTTTCTGGTCATATTTTATTTCTCTCTTTCACATGCACGTGCACCCTGTTGCAGGGGTTTCTCGGTCTTGCACTGTGGACATTTGGGGCTGTGTCATTCCTTGTTGGACAGCTGTCCTGTGCACTGTAGGATGTCTGGCAGGATGCCTAGGTGCCAGTAGCACCCCACACGTTGTGATAACAAAAATATCTTAGACATTGCCAAATGTAATCTGGGATTACACCCCCAGTTGAGAACTACTCGTCTACCTGGAGCTTGTTGTATATGGCGTGAGGTAAGGATCCAGTAATTTTTCTCAATATGATAAATCAGTTTTACTTAAAGAACTGGTTCATAATGCCATGACTGTCACATACCCAGTTCTGGTATATGCATGACTCTGCCACTGCATGTGGTAGACATGGGCGCAGAGCCCCCAGCAGGTGGGTAGAAGGGGGCAGAAGAGGAGACGGTCTCTCCCAGGTCCCGCCCAGCTTCCGGGGGAGGCCGTAGAGTGTTGGTGGGCATGTTTCAGAATCCCCACGAGAACTCCGATGCGATTCCAAATTCCTTACCCCTCATGTGTGAGGCCTGTTTTCCTCTCTCTGGAAGGTTGCAGGGTCTTCACTTTCTTTCTGGGGTTCTGCAGTTTCACCATCTGCTTTGGTGTCAGTCTTTGGTCTTTTTTCTTTTTTTTTTTCTTTCAAGATGCTTGGCTCTCATTGTGCCTTTCAGCCGGAAGCTCATCTTCTCCAGGCGGGGAGGTTTCATTGTATTGTTCATGTGATCACCTGCTCCCTATTTCTCCCCCTCCCTTCCCGGAACTCTCTCTCTCCCTCTCTGGACCTCCTGGAATAATCTCTGCTTTTCTTATCTTTCCATGCTTTTATCTTTTTGTTCTGTTTTTCAGGTGGATTTTTCAACATTATCTTCAAGATTGCTCATTTCCACTGTTATCATACTTTGAAGTTCCAAGCTCCTGTTTCCCCGAGCGTTTTTCACCATAGTGCCCTTTTCCTGTCTTCCAGGTGAGGTGTCTTTTGTTTTCGCCCTGAAGGTAAAAGTTTATTTGAAGTTTCTTATGCAGCCTGCACGGTCTCTATCTCCCCTGCGTTCCTTTTATTTTCCTGTTGATAATCTCTCTCTTTTATGTGAGCGATTTCTCTCAAATATTGGAGTTATTTGTTGTCCACTGATATTTGTTGTGTTAGGAGTGAGGGAAGCGAAGCTGGTGGAAGTTCTGGGTGAATCTGAAGTTGTAAACTTCAGGGCAGCTCTGGTGGACGCAGTGTCCCTGGGGTCCCCCACTGTCAGTTTCCGCCCCTCCCACCCGGGGTCTGGGCCTCTCTGCTTGTTCCGAGGCTGGGCTGGTGGAGCATGTGGGCCCTCCCCCTGGCACGCAGGCGGCCCCACTCTGCCCACCGCTCCCTAAAAGCCTGTCCCAGGCTCTTGTTCTTCACGGCAGCAAGTCCATCGTGTGAGCACTTAACACACTCAGCCAGTCTCCTGCTGGACATCGATGCTGTTTCAATTCGTGTGACCACAGGGATACGACGAACAACCTTTTTTGTGCCTCAGTTCACACCATCCGTAAGTTAAACTTTCTTGACTCAGTTTCCTCATCCACAAACAGGGAAAAGAGTATCTACCCAAGGGTGGTGAGGATTAAGGAAAGCAACATACTACAGCAAGTATGTCAAACTCTCGGCCCGAGAACACAAGCGGCCCACAACGAGTATTTTTGCGGCCCAGCCAATGTAACAGTATATAAGAAATATTTTAACAAAAAAATTTGTAACTTAGTTTTTACAATATCCTGTTATACATAATTATTTTACAACATATATGCTTTTATTGATTTCAGAGAAGAAGGGAGAGAGAGAGATAGAAACATCAATGATAAGAATCATTGACCAGCTGCTTCCTGCATGCTCCCCACTGGGGATTGAGCCCACAACCCGGGCATGTGCCCTTGACCAGAATCGAACCTGGGACCCTTAAGTCTGCAGGCCGACGCTCTAGCCACTGAGCCAAACCGGCTGGGGGTATACATAATTATTAATAACAAACTACAACTTTCGCTAATGTCTGATTACTATAATCGTGTTGCATTCATTTCCCTTTTCTCTTCACTAATACTAGCAGTGAATATTTTAGCAGCCAATTGCCACGTCATTAGTCTTGTACTGACTTATTTGGTGTGCGCAACAGGAAATATTTCGTTTTCGGAGAACAAGAAAAATCAGTTTATTTGCATTACGCTTAATAGTTTGTGCAGTTATTCAGCGTCTGGTAAGTTAATGTTCAAGAAAAATATATTCTTTTTTTTTTTAATATTT